AAGCTAGATATTAACATTCAGCTAGTTTGTGTCATCAGACTTACGTAACATCAAGCTAGCTAACATTTGAAAATATTAGGAATGGTTAGTTAGCCTTAGCTAATTTGATCATGTTTTTTGGTTCCTTATTTTTGTTTTAGACCATTTTTGTTGTAGACATAATTAAATATTTTAAGTTATTTGAACTTTTACTTATTTTAGTTCTTCATGTGAAGAACATGAAGATGCACCAACTCTGCGTATAGGTATAATTTTCCTTTGAGACATGCATTGTCCAGTTTTCCTTTCTGGCTCTTTTATATTCAGTGCAGTTTCAGATTGTAAGCACTATTTTACTATGGATATCACCCAATGGAGCAGTTTGTGTACTTTCACTCATGAGTAATTGTGGTTATTTTGTGCGGCTCAGAAGACCTAGAGCATTCTGGACAGCACCCAAATGTTCCAGCAGCCCATTTTCTTTGCAAGAGCTAACACTTTGTTTCATGCCACTGACCCTGTCCCCTGCAAAGCATCTCTCCATCAGCACTGTGATTAGTTTTCCAGACTGCAGAACACACAGTAGGAAAGTTGGCATGGATCGATGGATGTTTGGTTTTGCCATTCTATTTGTGTTAAAACTTCCAAGAAAAATCACATACATATTAGTGGACAGTGAAGCGCAAGAATATTTCAGTGGTCAGAAGGATGAAATTCAGGCATGTGAAGTTCTTTACAAGCAAATCTGCTGGCTCATAATCTTAGCCGATGGGCTGCATCGGGCCTCATTAGCATCAGAGCAGCTCCACATGTAAATATTTGTGACGGAAGAGAGGGCTGAGTTAGAGACAAGCAGATGTGTGGAGGTGCTCTGTTCATCACAGATGGTGATCACATATAGCTGGGAGCTTTGTTTTGTTTTTGTTTGTTTTTTTAAACCTTAAACGTGTTTATGATGGAGAGCTGTTCTGAGTTTTCATCTAAGATTTCTGGTTCAAGTTAGAACAAATCTATCATAGTTTTATTTTTTAGATGATCCAAGACTTTGGGAAATCTGTTTCAGATTTGAGTACCACCATGTCTTGAATTGATTGAGATTTAAAGTGGCTCATGTCTCAGGGGAATGCAATGTCAGTAGGGTTCATTCAGTTGTTCCAGTTAGAGTTTTCTTGACTTGAGGGTTCTCTGTTGACCCGGTTCCCTGTTGACTTTTGGTCTTTTAGAGACGGGGGATTCCACAAAGCATCTCAAGTAAGGATGCTAATGTAGCATCAGATTTGTCATTGTTAATTGGGATCAGTGGTAATTATATGGGGTCAGTTAATAGTCAGTGGTTTCTCCTCTTAATTCTTTGAAACTCTGCTTGGGACCCTCACTACTGATGATCTGCGGGTGGATGTGTGTCAGCATGGCTGTGGTGGAGCTCCTGCAGCTTGCTTCTCGGCCAAAGGCAATGCAGTCTTATTCTGGACACACAGGGAAAGGAGCCACATTACTGAGGTTTATTTATCTGGGCAGAAGCATCTGTACACAAAAAAGACAAGGCAAATACTGCTTCGTGAGTCGCTGATATTAGTGGGAGTATTAAATCGCTGTGCCACGTTAGGGTTTCAAATAAAAAACTGCAGCTTCTCCACACTCCTCTGTTTTTCCCCCCTTGATTCTTTTTGATGCAAGAGTGAAATTGAACAAAAAAAACACTTTTGATGTAGTCTGAATAGTTTGTGTGATCACTTTGAAAGTCTCGCCAGTAAATTGCTAAAGTTTTTTTTGTGTGTGAATGCTTAAGAAATCAAGCAGAAATGATTGGAAAACTTGGAATGGGAATTTTAATCTCAATCAGTGAACAAAATATCTGCATTCAGTATCATGATATGCTTATTAGACTTTTCCTTTCTTGCATCTCTTCTTATTTAATGCACTCGCTGATTTTCACACACGTGTGAGCTATAAACTGCTTCTAGTTTTTATAGCTATGCAAGACGTCGTCTGGAGAATATTCCATGGGGAAAAAATACATCAAAGACATGACTTGAACAATGTAGAGAATGTGTCAATATTTAAACTGGGTGTCATGCTGAAAGAAATTATTGGTTTGATCTTGTCAAATAGGGTTGGATGGAGGGGGGTCAGATTGTATAACCTGTCTGACTGTCATAACAGTTGCTTAGGCTCCTTATAGGGATATGGATGAGGTGGTGAGCGTGGGTCATTTCATCTGTTGCTTGCATGTGCACATGTGTCATGTTTCTGACTGGTTCATGTCATCATTCTAGCAAATGTTATTGTCATTAAATATTTTTTAAATGATTTGAACATTTTCTTATGCTATTCCAACTGTCTGAATTTAGTCCAGTCAATGTGAGGTCAGAGATTTTGAAGATGTATTAGTGTCTCCCATGAGTAAAGATTACCCACAATGCCATTTGACTACCTGCTGGTAGTAGCACCATTGGAAATTAGCCCTTGCTTCATCTCTACCTATAGAGAGCAGTGCAGCAGCACTGTAGTGTTTTAGTCTGTCCACCTCTTTCACTTCCTCATCTGTATACTTTTCTCAAATGCTAATACTGCTGTTAACACCATTCAATTCAATTCAGTTTTATTTGTATAGACCTTATAACAATGGACATTGTCATAAAGGAGCGTCACAGAAATATCTAAATGTCAGATACAAATCATAAATTGATGAATTTATCCCTGACCATCACGCTCATCATCTCATAGATTGCTGCTTTGAGTTCAACGATTGCTAGCTGCACTACTTCTACACTGGATTTTGCATTAACATGATATTGAACATCACTGAAAACTTTTCTGAGAACTTTTGAGCTAACAGCAAAAACCTGACCATTATCACTTATGTCTCAGCTGTCCCTAGTGATGTCAGCTTGGTACACGCCTGCTAGGTTCTAACTGCATTAACAAAAATTCAGCACAAACCAACAGATTAGCACGAGAATTGCTAAGCGCATCGAAAATGTTTCCAAACAAGCATATTTAATAGGTTCCAGGACTTTTCATTTAAATATTCTCAATTTTTTATGCAAGTTTCCAGGGAGCAGCAATTCAAATATTTCAGTAATGTTATGAATGAAGTTCAGATGTTGTTTTCCCAGACATGTCAGACTGTTATCAGTCTTGGCTAAGAGAGAATACAGGCAGAGGATGAATGCTGGAGGGAGGGAGGGAGGGAGAGAGAGAGAGAGAGAGAGAGAGAGAGAGAGAGAGAGAGAGAGAGAGAGAGAGAGAAAATCAGGACAGAGACAAGTGAGAGAGGAGATCTTTTGAGAATATCTGTGTGTGTGTTTGTGAAAAAAGGGTCAAGTTCATCTTCTCTATGAAGGTCTTCATAGAAACTTCATACCTTCATACCATAATGTAGACAAACACTACTGGCATGGAGAAATATCCATCTGCCACATAGATATACACTATTATTAGCGATTGTTTTTGCAGGAAAATCCAAAATAAAAGTTTTGCTTCTTTGTTTCTCTCCTTTATACTTTCTTTATCCTTTCAATGAAATGATTTTTAGCGTTGGCTGCAACAGTATAGAAAAGGATAACATTTATTTTCTCACTCTCTCTTCTTAAGTACATCATGCTTTTATGCATGGAACCAGAACCAAAAAAGCAATTAAAGAGAACCATCATTAGTTAGCATGATTATCATCTTTCATGGTGGAAAACAGAGTGCAGTGACATCATCCTTATCACCACAGTAGCGTATCATTGATGTTACTGCAGCCAAACAAGAAAGCATTTCAGAGTGAGTGACAGTGAAAAGTAGGAGGAAGACATAACAAAGAATGGTTTTAAAATGTCAGGCCAAAGCTAAGAAGGCTTAACTTAACTCCTCCTGTCTGCCAAAAGGCCATTACTCCTCTTTGCCATAATTTCTCCAATTACTGACTTCTGTAAGTGGAAAAGTAAATCGCTTGCAATATTCAGACATCACATTTCACAATGTCGTCATCAGCAAATGGCTTTAACCCCTTAAAGGCTAAGCTTAATTAGTTAGTTATTTGTGTATAAACACTTTGGTATACACAAGTGGCATACAAAAAGATGTAGATACTGGTTGAGCGCTTCTGTTCACATCAAACACCAGAATGGGGAAAAAATGTGATCTCAGTGATCTCAGTCATTTTCACCATGGCATAGTTGTTGGTGACAGATGGGCTCTGTTGAGTATTTCAGAAACCGCCGATCTCCTGGGATTTTCATGCACAACCATCTCTAGGATATGCACAAAATAGCCCAAAAAACCAAAAAAACATTGGCAGTTTTTGTGTTGGCAAAAACATCTTATTGATGAGAGAGGTCAAAAGAGACTGACTAAAGCATGGTAACTCAAATAACCACCACAACTGTGGTGAATAAAAAGGCATCTCAGAACAAACAACATGGGAAACCTTAAGGTGCATGGGCTGCAACAGCAGAAGACCAAATCAGGTTCCATTCCTGTCAGCAAAGATCAGGAATCTGAGGCTACATTGGGTACCAAAACTTCTCTCTTCACTTAACTGACAATGCCATTTCAGTTTCTTGGATTGACTGATGGTTCTACTTTACCCTGATGGGGCAAATCATTCTCTTTATTGTACAATGGCATGTTGAATGAGTGGCAGACAGTCAGTTGAAGCTGAAAGAAAGCACAGACTCCTTCTTTGTATGCTAGGAATTAAGGCTGCTCTTCACAGAGATGCTTTAGAGGACCTCCATGAGAGTGTTTGCTGTTTTAGTGTGTCCCAGTGGTCAGATGCTCCTCAAACTGGGGGGTATGACTGTGCTCCAGTAGGAAGTCATACTGAGTGATAACAGATTCCTTACTGAGATATGCATACATCCAGAAAACATTGGTCCTTATTTCCAAGCTGATTGTGTAAATATTACATTTACAGTACAATTACGGTGTTTGGCAGATGCCTTTATCCAGAGCGACTTACATTTGTGTCATTTATACAACTGAGCAGTTGAGGGCTAAGGGCCTTGCTCAAGGGCCCAGCAGTGGCAGCTTGGCATTGATGGGATTTTGAACTCACGACCTTCCGATCAGTAGTCCGATGTCTTAACCAGTGAGCTACCACTGACCTTATGCAAAACAATTTGTTTTTACATGGTTACACAATTCGTTCATGTAGTACAAAAGAGGGATTCTTGCAATTATTGAATTGTGAGGTTTAGTTCAAATCACCAACCCATATTATCTTACTCAATTCCAAACTGGGGAAATTATATAGCTTGGCCACAGATTTCTGTTTCAGTTTCTGGGAAAAAAAAGTCTAAAATTATCATTATTGCCAATGAATACAATAAATGAAAAAAATGTTTTGAATGGCTTGTGTTTGACCGATTTCTGCTTTCTTGCAGGACTCCATGACTGTTTCAACATAGACACAAAGAGCCACAGAGTCATAAAGGGCCCAAAGCAGGTGCAGTTCGGTTTCACCGTTCAGCAACATACAGCTGGTGGACAGAAATGGTAAAATAGCATTTTTCAAATACTTCCTTTGTCATTTCTTTCCTTTGTATTACCTTTCTATGTAACATTTTTGCCCATTTTGGCATTGGGCTGAGGTGTGAAAGCTAATATTGACAATGCTGTATATGAGTATATGGTCCAAACAATACATGTTTTTTATACTGTAGCAGGATTTCTCACTCCAGTGTTTTCTTATGAGTGCATTTAAGGTCAATTTAAAAAGTATTATATAAACAAGAAAACATTATTCATCTTGCCCACCATTGTTACTTGCCAAAATCCCCAAGAAAAACTCCTAATATCACGTTTTATGTGGTTAACCACTAGTAAGTATTGCTGTGAGTTGAATGAACAGGGCATTTGTCATTCCTCCATATGACATCATCAGTGAGGATACTGGCATCCTTACTGTGTGTGTTAACCACAGAAACTGTGTCTCTTTGTGGTGATTATTGGGTTACAACATTACATCATGGTTACTTCTAAATGACCTTGGATTATTTTAATCCATTATGTATGTACACATTCATCAAATAAATATAGACATTTACCGTAGAATGCCGTGTAGAGACAGTTCCTTGATTGACTTTCACAGCCTAGATCAGCTAGATCCTTGCTCCATGTATATCCCAAACATGAGTTTTAGCTTCAATTCACTAACTATTGTATAAGCAAAAGATCTTTTATCAGTCTTCTGACTTTATCCTCCAGTTGAACTTCTCTGTATTGTTTGTGGGGGTGGGAGGTTGTGGGAAGTTTTCTACCTCTGGAATAAATCTTGTCATCCCAATTACCACCCTAACATTGACCTCAAATCTATGAGAGGTCTGTTATGGTCCATTACTTTTCTAGACTTAATTAACCATACGTGAATTCATGCCGATTAAATCAAAACACATTGTAAATAGTTCAACTACATTCCATTGAGTATTAGAAACTACAGGGAAGCTCATTATGTGGCCATTCATTTTGCATCAAGGATCAAATCAGATAATCTGCAAATATAGCTATGTACCATACATAATTGCTGTTGCTAACCCTTTGTCTTCTTTTGCTCCCTATTTAGCAGTGCACATCTGAAAACATGGATGTGCCTTTGCTTCACAAATGAGACTGGTTTTACAATACATGGCTCAGTAATGAAACTGCTAAGTGAATAGACTAGTCAATTCAGACAGGGTAAAAGTATCTTTTTAATTTGCCTGGATTTACATGTCACAGCATGAATTTACTTTAGCATCCACAACCTACTGTACCTAAAGAGAGATGCGGCAGTGATTTAGGTTGTTCATCTGTACACACAGCCCAAAGACATCAGCTTCCAAAGTTTCAGGCTAATACCACCATAAAAACAATCACACTCTTCATCTAACAGCTTGCTATCTAGGGTCTTTGCGATAACACAGCTCAGCTTTTGAAACACCTTGAGTCCAACTTTGCTGTCCCTAATACTTCTAAGTTAGATTTCTCATTAATGATATTGAATGTCACTGAACAATGGTGAATGAGAAAATAATCTCTTACTCTTTTTTTTTTCCCTTTCACGGCACTAGCAGCAAAACCTTACCGTTATACCTTAGGTTTGAGAATGATGGGTTTTTTTTCTAGTATTAAATGGCATTGTAATTGCCCTAGCAATGTCTGCTTGTGACATCAGAGCAGCAGACAACCACTAACCTCTCACAGACATAACAAAATAAAACCAACAAATTAGCACCAGAATCCCTAAGCAGATTGCAAATATTCTAAATATAAACATATTAAATGTGTTTGAGGGTGGGGTTTTCCTTGAACTGACTCTGGAATAATCTCTCTCCAGACGTTGCTGATTTGTATTGGATTATAATCATGGAACTCATAATCACTTGAATAGGGCTTAAGGGATTGGAGGGCAAAAATCGATTTTGTTATAATTATGCGATATTGAACAGATCAAGGTATCTAGGTATTACAAATCTGAACTTCAGTACTTCCTTCCATTAAGAGTAAACATACCACATACACAAACCGTGTAACTGGAGAGAACTGTTTTAGTAGACAATAATGATGTGAACTTATTTGCTGCCTTGAATAATCACAATGACATTCCTATTGCTCTCCAGACCATGCTGAAAATGCTTCTCCCCAGTTTACATTCTCCACATAGTTTAGTGTAAATGCTTAATGCCAGGGCTGTAGCTGGAACTAGAAAGTTTGTTGTAAATTTACTTGAGCTGATATTTGGGCATATCAACAAAGATCTCCTCAGTGCGCAGCAGCCATATAGTCCAGCTCTCTCTCTCTCTCTCTCTCTCTCTCTCTCTCTCTTCCCATCAGTCAAAACACATCTGGAAATCATTTACTAACTAAAGGAAATTTTAGCACACTGTGTGTGTGTGTGTACCTGGTATGTCTGGCTTCTGCATGTGTCTGTATATATGTTTGTGTGTTTGAGGTGTGTATGGGGCTGGGGAGTTCTATACGCTAACTGTTTGGCACACATTTGGTTGGTTTTTACAAAAACTGCAGCTTTATTTTAAAAACTAAAACCAAAAGACTGTTGTTTTTTGTCACACAGGCTTCTCAAACATGCATTCATTCATGTGCACAAACAGATTTCTAACAATTTATTACTCTACAGCATTATAACCTTTGTTGCAAATCTGGGAGGAATTGTAAAGAAACCACATTTCTGTATACATTTACTGAAGGAGAAATGCAGGAAAAAAGAGAACAAGTCAAAGAAATAATTTTTTTTAACCACAATACAGGATTGTCAAAGGAAGTTAATGGAAGTTTAGAGTTCATAGAGTTCATGGAAGTTTGCGCAGAAGGTTACTTCATGGGGATTTGAAAAATGAATATTATATTTTTTTTGCGTGTGAGCATTAGGAAGCTTGAGTGTTTGCACTGGCACAGCTCTAGGCGATAGGGGATAGGAGGAACAGTAGCTAATTGTCAACACGGTGTAAGGCTACTTTTGATCGGTCTGAACACGGGAAATGCTTTAGGTGCTAAGAGACACTGCTGGCTGTGGGTGAATGTAAAATAGTGTGAGACATGCAGTCCACTCAGGAAATGTCTTGATAAGTACTTTTTCAAGTAACATGTCATGTCCTCAACAAAGAGAAATCTAGGATTTTTTTTGTTTGTTTTTCCTTCCTCCTACGCTGTTATATTAAACTGGATCCATTGAAAGCAGCTGTAGAACATATTTAGCAGCTTGAATATGACTCATAATGCCAATATTAGATAATGCCAAAGTGAGACTGAGTGGTACTAACTCTTGTCTTCCTACATGAGAAATAAAATGACGATTTATGAACGTCAGCAGTCACTGCACACAGAGATTTGGTCTTTCTTTCTTTCTTTCTTTCTTTCTCTGGGTCCCTTGCATTGCTGTTTGGTTGAATTTGCATTGGTGAGTTTCAGAGCCACAGTGCAAGTCTGAGAAAGTTGACTGTGGTCTCAGAATTACATGGACCACAGAGGTGTCTATTTCCATCACCCCGTATGTTTTGACAAGACATTAAAACACACAGTACATTTAGGGTCAGTTCCAAAACCACCACAAAATACTACAGTTCTAAGTAAGAGATGTAGTCTACACAAGATGAATTTGTGCATCCTCAGCAAGGACAATTTAGCAGAGCTAACTGCTCTTCTAAATCTTCAACATGTAAATGCAATAAACAGGGATGAAACAGTTAAAAATCAAACGAAAATCCTACAGCTGCCTATAAATATGGCCATAGATCAGATATAATTTCTAAATAGCCAATAAAATATATTGCACTTTAAATACAGGGCTCTAGCATTGTTTTGGCCCAAAAGAAACTTATGGTGCCAAAGTGGTTTCAACTTTTATGGGCATATAAAATCATGTGATTATATGACCAATGTATGAGTTTACCATTTCTTTAACTTTTTTTTTTTTTTTTTTTTTGAGGAATCATCTCAACAAATTCATCAAATTAACTTTAGTCAGTGAGATCTATTGCACAGAAGAAATTTTCTAGAACTTGGTGCTTGATCTGAGAAGATGGCACCAATGCTTTAGATGATCATCACACTGTAATTTTCTTGTTCAAAATGGTGAAAAAGACATCCTGATGGCTCCTGGCATGGCTATAATTTGACAATATTTCACATGATATATTGGAAAATGTTATTTTTGAATTTCTATTAATAAAAATGGTGCATATGGGTGTTATATTGGTTGGGAATGCACAACATAGCAGCTCTGGAAACTTTGATTTATGTGAACAATATGTATTGTGATGGACATTTGAATAATTTCTAATAGAAACCAGGTTAAATCCATTTAACTCTGTGATCTATTAAATTATGCTGGCAGACAGCCAATAGATAACTACATGCTAGATGCACTAAAACCTGAGATTCACTGCTGCATCATACTGCAATATTTTAACTAGATACATACATTTGTTAAGACTGTGCCGAGCATTAAATAAACCACACCATTTTACAATTATTTCACAGTTTGTTATTGGTATATCCATGCTATTACATTATCCAAATTAATTCTGCTTTATAGCTAGCTAGCATCTTTGCATAGCTATAACTGTAGCTTACCTAACATGTAAAGTAAGCCTTATTAAATATACAG